CAGAAGGAGAGTTCTAGACCAGGAGTAAGGCAGTCTGGGCTTGCTCATTTGCCCAATAAACATTTATTAATCATGTATTAGGCTCTGTTCGTGTTTAGTCACCAGGGATTCAGCTATGAATGAGACAGAGAAAGTCTGTGTCTCAAAGAGCTTACATTCTAGAGGAGTGACAGACAACAAAGCACTACAACAACAAACACATGACTTGTTATGTAGAAAAGAAACCCAGGGCTACAAGGAGAGAGTGACAAAGGGCAGGTGGCTGCCCTTTAAAATAATAACATGTGAGTGGAGAGGGAATAAGTGCTGCATAGATCTGAGGAAGAGCCTGCCAAGCAGAGGAGTTGCAAGCACAAAGGGCCTGAGGTGGGAACAAGCTTGGCATGTTCAAGAAGTAAAGACCAAGGAATATGTTATGTCTAGAGTGAAATGAAAAGAAAGTGAGTAGCAGGAGGTGACAGCCATATCATACTCAGGTTGCAGCTCAGCCACCACTTCCTTGGGTGAATTTGGGTGCATCCCCTTCCCTCTTTAGGCCTGCACATGATCTCCTATCTGAGAAATGGGCTTGCCAATACATGCTGTCACCAGCCCAACTCCCAGAGCAGCTATGAGGCCCTAGGAGAAGAATGTGAGGCGAAATATGTGCAGCCACTGTGATACCAAGGAAGGAGGTTAAGTGCGGATTCCTGGAAGCAGAGCAAAGGCCAAGGCCTATGTATGTTCTGAGATCAATACAAAAAGACAGATGCCCTAGGGCCAGGGATTTAGCTCAGTGGTTTTGCCGCTTGCTGCGCAAGCACAAGGACCAGAGTTCGATCCCCAGTACCAAAAAAACCAAACCAAAACAAAACAAAAAGACAGATGCCCTAAAACCAGGCTCCAGCAGGGAAGCTGGGCAAGTCCTCCGTCTCCTGGCCCAATCAGAGTGGACTGAGGGTGGGAGGGAGAATGAACCTTGACTGGGCCAATACTCCCAGCCTCACCCAGCGGCCTTTGTGCCACCTGTTCAATTTGGACTGGACCCAGCTTCTATAGGAGTACCACCACTCCTTGATGATGGCAACCCTAGATCTGAATCACGAATCCCACTGATGGGTGGAGGGTGCAATGTTTTACTTGGCTTAAGGTGGATTAGCTAAGCTCAAGTAGGCCCTGGGCCTGCCAGATGGCATGGCCAATATGCCCAGCTTGCCCTTGGACCACTTTCCCTGGTCCCTAGCCCATATCCTGCCCCACCCTTCCCCCAGCATGAAGTGTTCTCACCTGCCCATCTATCTGCTGTAAACAGCCCTGTGGGCATCCACTCCAGGGAGCCCTAGTGTGGAGCTAGCCAGCTCCACCAGCCTGTTCTATAGTGGACTCTCCAGCCACTCAACTCCATGTCCCAGATCTGGGACCCACTATACCCACTCTGCCTCATCCAGAATTGCAGGCCCCCTTCATGAGGACATCAGGGGGAAAGGGTATTGCTCCTAACTCTTCAAGGGGTGGATTCGTATACTTGTTTGAGCTCTGACTCCAAGTAGGACTTGATGATAAGAGTGGCTGGAGTCATCCCTCAACAGGCACATCCACCCTTCCATACATTAGACACTTTCCAAGAACCTACTGTGGAGCACTGTGCCAGACCTGTGACTGCAGAGATGAATGAGACTTGGAGCCCTGTGCTCAAGGAGCTTGCAGTTCAGGGTGGTGGGAGGTGGTATAGACACTTGAGCAGGTGGGTAGTTGCAAAATGCTATGGTCAGAGCAGGCATAGAAGTATTTCCTCCATCCCGGTAACCTATAGATCCCTTGCTCATTATGTCGAAAGTCCACTTACAATCTCCCTTCTACTCAGAGCTGCCCTACATCCTGGTTCCTCCATCTGGGTCGACAATAGCACCATCATCCTGGTGACTGAGGCAGAGCTGGGCATCACCTTGAACTTCTCCCTCATCTCTATATTCAAGAAATTAGAGGGCCAGGGATTTAGCTCAGTGGTTCTGCCGCCTGCCTTGCAAGCGCAAGGTCCCGAGATTGATCCTCGGTACAAAAAATAAAGAACATTTTGTTGGGCTGGGGATTTAGCTCAATGATTCCGGCGCCTACCTCGAAAGTGGAAGGACCTGAGTTTGATCCCCGGTACCAAAAAAAAAGGAAAAAAAAATTTGGGGCCGGGGGATTTAGCTCAGTGGTTTCACCGCCTGCTGTGCAAGCTCAAGGACTTGAGTTTGATCCCCAGTACCAAAAAAAAGAAGAAATTAGGACTCAGCTGGGTGTGGTGGTGCATGCCTGTGATTACACCTACTCAGCTGGCTGAGGAAGAGGACTGCAAGTGTGAGGCTAGCTGGTCAATTTAGCGCGATCTTGCCTCAAAAGCAAATAAACAAACAAACAAAAATCTGGAGGTGTGGCTCAGTGGTAGAGTACTTGCCTAGCCTGCAGAAGGCCCTGGGCTCAACCTCAAGCAATGGAAAAAAAAAAGAAAAGAAAGAAGCCTTACTGATTTCATCTCCTCATGCTCTCACATCCATCACCTCTGCTACATTTCCTCTATTTTTTTTCTGTTTATATAGTCACATGAAAAATAAACATCTTTATATTTTTGCCTATTTTATTTCATTTTTTCAAATAAAATTTAAATCTGTGCAAAGTATACTGTTACAGTGTATATGTTGTATGAATCAATGCCTGAAAGAATCACAATACTTCACTAAACATTACAGCAGACCTTGCTAGTTTCAGCTTTGATACTGAACAACTCAAGCCAGCTGATGCACAACACATTTGCTTGGTTTCCACATGGTGAGTTCCCAGCACTGAGATGGGAGAAAATGGCAGCAAATGTGATTATATTACAGCCCAACACACTGCGTTTCTTCATATGATAATATCTGCACATATGCAATACAGAATGCTCAAATTTACTTTTAAATTGCATTTGCTCACTTTTTAGTTGGCAAAATTCAACATTTTAAATGGGGTCCCCAAAGAGTGCAAATTAATGATATTCTATTATATATTGGCACTTTCCAATAAGGTTTAACTTGTAAACTCAGAGAATAGCAACAACTTCATCCTAAATTTTAACTAATGTACATATGGTCCATTTAACCAAAGTCATTTTGGAAAGATATTAAAGAACAATTCTGTTTCTGAGAGGATATTGTTTTGACCATTCTTTAAAGATAAATTTTAAAATTGTAATTAAAATGTTTTACTATAAAAATTTTACAAACTTGATTAGAAATTTCAAGATGATGACTCACAGCAGACAAATACAAACTGTTTACATTCCAACAATACCTACTCTTAGACTTTCAAATGGAGAACAATCATGTCAGTTGTCTTAACTAAAATTCTGAACAGTGTACTAAATTTGTTAGTGGTGCTGGGTCTAGCAAGTGTAAATACACAGTATATATTTCAATGAAAATAATTATCTTCTTTATACTTTGTCTTTCCGTGAGGAAACATTAATATTTACATTCTTTAATAGAGTTAATCTTACATCAGAATATAATTTAATACTGTCAGCAACAGGGACAGCACACAGTAAATAAGAAGTACATTTAAAATAAGTCTGAATTTGCATAGATTAACATTTGTTGGTTAATAAAATATCGACAGTATCAATCTTACAATATTTACAGTAAGAAAAATGTAGAGTAATGTATATCTTTCACAGCAGGATTCCTTTTTAAAAATTTCTTCCACTTTGGGATTGTGTATACATGAAAAGTTCAAATAAAGCAACACTGCAATATAATCTTAAAATACTGACTACTAGGGGGATATTCTATCACAACCATTGAAAATAATGGCGACTTCTCATGGAGTCTGTGGCATCTGAAAACCCAGTTAATTAACCAAAGTCTTGCTCAAACCAGCCTCTCAGCTCCATTCCTCATATTGTCTCCCTACCTCCACTTTCATCTCCTCCATCTCATCCTCCATTTTGCTGCCAGAGTGATCTTAAACCCAAAACTGACCACATCATCTCTCCGCTTAATTGTTTTATTATGATTAGTCAATTCAATTAAAATTATTCAATAAATATTGACTCAAAGATGAAAACCAAACTCCTTTGTATGACATGCAAGTTCCTCCATGGATGGGCCTTTGTCAGCCTCTCTAACTTCAACTCTGAGCACTTAACCCTTTATTTGTCAGGCAGACTGCCTGCAGACTATCCTGCTGCTCCCTTTGCCTGCTGTGTCCCCACATCACCTCTCTTGGCCCTCTCTTCCTAGGCGCATTGTGCTTGTGTGACTATCTCCCATACATCCTTACAGAGAAAGCCCAGGGGGACATCCCATCCACCTCATATCCCCAGTGGTCTACACAGTACCTAGCATGTCTCCAGTGGGTCCTCTGCGTCCAGCCAGTGACTATCCTATGTTGTATAAATATTGTTGGGAAAACAGGTGCTACAGTATACTCTATTCCAAGGATCATAATTTCCTTTTGTCCATCCTGGCTGGGCATCCAAGAATCTAGCATCTCTCCCAAGACCTACTAGGTATGGTGTTTTTCAACTCCAAATCCCTAAGCCATCTGCTGGATACAGGGTGTTACACAGACTAACAGCTCCCAGACTCACGTAGGCCAATTGGAGTGCTGAGTGCTGCCTTCCCTCTGGCCTATGCAATACTTTAGGAGAGATCTAGGAGACCATAGTGCCATCAGAACCTGGGCTCTGAAGTCTTAGACCTTTCCCATGTGACCTTGGGTAATTTCACCTCTGAGCCTCAGGGTTACCATGCAGTTATATAGAATGTGATCTGGTCATCTCCAAGGGATGCCATTCACATCATGTTCAATGGGCACCACAGTGTGCACTGAATTAGAATGGTGGCAGGTAGGATATCCAGCCGTAAATTCTACAGGCCATGTCACATGCCCAGGGGATTCTGAGATGTGCTAGGAAACACCATAACTTGGTTTCCAATCTTCCACTCCTATCATTCCCTTTGGGGGCTATAATCATGCTCTCTTTCTATACACAGGCTTACCGCATACTGTTAGGGGAGAGAAAATGCAGCTGCAGGTGGTGAATCCTGGCAAAGCCCAACCAACCTCCAGTGCTGCTTGACAAAGTTCCAGCTGGGGGAAAGAAAGGGTGGAACACATCGTACCCTCATATTTTATTTTTTTTTCTTGCCATAATGTTTATAATTGTTCCTCTGGTCACAGGAGTCATTGTGTTTGTGACTAACAACAAACTCTCCAAGAGGCTAATTGGCAATGATATATTGAAATTTGATCTGGCTCAAAAGTCTCAAATTCCATTTTCTCTTAGTTCTATTGCCACATCCACTCCTAAAGAAACCTCTCTTAAAACCCCCGCTGTTTTCCCACTACTATTACTCCCTCTCTTATTGCAGACATTCTTTTTACTAAAGGGGTCTTATGAAGAGATTGAAAGGACAGACTTTAGATGTAAGAAATAGTGGAAAATGGAAAATAAGAAGAACGTTAAGACAGGTAAATGCATTAAGGAGGCAAATTACTCAATATTTCTCAAAGTGCTGTAAATATCTCCTGCTCATGGACTATGAACCCAAATGACATTTAGTTAAGATGAATAGAGGTACAGAAAAATAGAGAGCTAATAGCAAACTATATTAACCATTGTGCAGTTTCTCAAGGGCCAGCTGGTGACCACAAGTTTGACATTTAATTTGATTAAGTTACTTTCTGTTCTGCTCAGGTATGGGAAAATACTTTCTGTTCTGCTCAGGTATGGAAAAATACTTTCTGTTCTGCTTAGGTATGGGGAAATGAGGGGACAATTGTAATTTTTAAGAAATGTATTCATGATGTTCAATGATATGAATCAGCTTAGAAAAAATATACTGTTTAACAAAAATAACCTTTACCTCATCAGATATTGCTAAGGCAACATGTTCCGCCCAATGCCTCTTCGCTATTGCTTAAAGATATAAAAATAAATCAGACCCTGAAACTTCTCAGAGGGAACCTGGACATTGCTTGTGAAGGTTCTTTTCTCATCACCGGCCCAGGACATCTCCCCTTCCTACCCTACATCGACTGCGGCTGGTCCGAGGCAGAATCCCAACTTAGTGGACAAAGCAAACAAATAGTTTTGTTTTTGTTTCTGTTTTTGGTATCGGGGATCGAATTTGGGTCCTTGTGCTTGCGCAGCAGGCGGCGAAACCACTGAGCTAAATCCCCAGCCCCAAAGCAAACAAATAAACAAACAACAGAGAAGATTTTTCTCTTCTTCCCACAATCTCCTTGAGTCTACAAAGACCCTGATTGGACTGGGTAAGTTACATGCTCATCTGTCAGACCAATCAATATGGCCAGGGAATTGAGCTTCTGTAATTGGCCAGGCTGAGGTCACAATTACCCTAATGTTGCCAAGGAGCAGTATAAAATGATTAACAGTTGTGCGGCCTAACAAAAGACAGAACTCAAGAGCCCCAAAGCTAAAGTTCTCAGTGTTGGTCCTGGAGGTCCTGGAAATTCTTTCCTTCTCATGACCCTCCTCGTTTGTGTCCAAGGTGCCTTGTTGGTAGGCATTCTTTCATGGTAGCACACCTATTTCCAGGCAGACCCTGGGCACGTCCGAGAGACAGTGAGGGAGGAGTCTAGTTCTCGAGCTCCAAAGCCTTCAATAAATATTTATTGTGCCTATGTGTTGACAGATGAGGCATCACAGCTTGTCACCCCCTTCCTGGTAATTGTCTCCTACTCAGCCTAAAAGCCACCCAAAGGCCCATGCTGCCCTCTGTCTGTGGCAAGTGTGGCCCAGGTGATGTCTCCTGCTCACCTCCTCCTTCCCACCTGCAGGAGGGGTCCTGGAACCCTCAGCAGCCTGTCCAGCAGCCGCTATTCCTTCCTCTCTGGGATTCTGAGGCTTTTTCAGGACTTACATGGGGAGTGGCAAGATGGGAAGAGTAGGGGCCAACCCTTGTTTCATTCCAGCTTTGCTACTTACTGCTATGTGACTTTGACTAAATTCCTTAATCTCTTTGGGTGTTAGTTTCCTCTTTTACAAAACAGGATATCCACAGCTACTGAACAGGATAACTTTAAAGTGCTGTAACCAAGCTCTTGGCATGCTAAGAGCACTTTATGGTGGCCATTGTGGTTACCGTGCTTTATGGACCTGGTTACGGGAAGGAAGAGAACCTTTAAGACATCAGACCTCCCCTTAACTTCCCTCATACTGGCCACAAATCTATTCTCACCCCCTGAAACAACACTTGCCAAGCCTGAGAAATAACTTCAGGTCAAAAAGGCCTCTTGCTTTCATGACACTGGAGAAGATTTCCACCATCCTAAGGGCTCAACCCTGGCACCATCAGATACATTTAAAGGTCCCTGAGGGCTACGGGTTCACTGGAGCTTTGTTTTCTGCTCTTGCGCCTTCCTTGATGACCTATTAATGAATCTCCCAGATCTAGAAGCAAAGACAGGTATTTGCTGCTGCCCTACTTACTCCTGGCCTCCTTGACCAGGTCTGACATGATGCAACAGATACTTTCAGCCTTCCAAAAGGTCTTCTCATCTCTGGAAGAGCAGGAAAAGATGATTCTGAAGAATGTCATTGGACTGATATGGGGAAAATCATGCAATTTGATCCCTTAGGCAGATCAGAAGAAATGATCATCATATATTCAGAGCTTATTACTATAGACTCCCAGCACTGTGCAGATAGCATCACATATACTACATAGTGCTGACAAAAACTTTATGAGATAGGCCCTATGATTATACCCACTTTACAGATGAGGAAATTAAGGCTGAGAAAGAGTAAATGGCATGTGAAAAGCCTCTAAGATTGTAAGCAGCAGAACTGGCATTCAAACTGATCTTCATCTGGCTTTAAATCTCAGACCCTTACCAGATCCCCCCAACCACCAGAGATTCTGATTCCAAATGTACTCATTCAGCAGCCCATCTTTTGCCCAGAAGCTGAAATGGCACGGGCAAAGGAGTTATACAATTTGAAGTGAATCTTCTGGAAATCGCCAAAATATAGTGGTACCTTGGTTAACGAATTTAATTCTTTTCATGATTCTGGTTGTAAACTGAATTGGATGAAAACCAAATCAGATTTCTCCATAAGGTCAACACTGAACCTAAACATTGAATTTGATTTGGTTCATGTATAATTTAGTTTTTGACCAGAATTGTGGAGAGAATTAAACTCATGAACCAAGGCACCACTGTAGCCAGGTGTGGACCAGGGGAAGAGGCAACCTCCTTGTAGTTGGGCCTGGCTAAGATCTAGCAGTCCTTGAAAATATGGTCTGTCCAGAAGGAAGGCAATTTAGAGGTCCAAGCAAAAGGCACGAGGAATTGGGCTGGGGATTTAGCTCAGTGGTTTCATCACCTGCTGCTCAAGAGCAAAGACCCGAGTTCGATCTCCGGTAAAAAAAAAAAAAAAAAAAAAGGCATGAGGAACTACCACACGTGTCTGCAGCACTGCTAGGTTACACATGTGTAGCCCATGTAACTCCCCACTTCCTAGACACAGCCATCTGCAGCACCTAGGGCCAGGCTGTTTAGACACTGAGGTCCCAAAATATGGCCCCACCCCAGCCACTTGGACCAAAATTGACATAGCACTTATGTTGTTCCAGCACTGTTTTAATTCTTTCTACATCTGAACTCACTTGATTCTTATGAGAAACCTATGAAATAGGTCAATTATCCCATTTTACATATGAGGCAACTAAGGCACTGAGTAGTGAAGAATTTTGACTACAGCCATGCATCTGAGATTGGAAGTAGTTAGCCTGCCTCTGAAGGGCAAAGAGCTTTGACAGCCTTTGAGTGTTTGCCAAAGCAGGGAGGTGATGGTCGTGGTGGTGGGAATGTGTGAGTTGCTTCTAGTGCACTGTGCATTGGAAAGTGGACAGCTGAGGCCTCAGAGGATGTACTGCCTCCTCCCCAGTGTTTTCCTCCAGCCTGGCCCTGAAAGCCACCCCTCTCCCAGCTGTCCTACCTCTCTGGTGAATGTGGAAGAGGAAGAGAAAGTTGGGTGGTGAAGCTATAGCTGACCCCACGTTATGGGCAGTCCCAAGTGGGCATGGGTCCCACAAAAACCTGGCCAGGTCTACCCTGGACTTATCATTTGACATTAATTCACTTTTTCTTCTGGACACTCATGTCCTCTAGAAGGGTCAGGGAGCAACTTCTGAAAACTTTGCCTCCTGAATGAGAAATTGAGACAAAGAACAAATACATCCTTCATATGTGTCTCTGGTACCTTGAGGATTCACCCAACTGATGGAAAATATCATACTTGTCTTCTCACCACTCAATTTTCTAGGCTTGAGCAACATCACCTCTGAAGAAATGTGCAAACTGCAAATCCCACACAGAATTCTCTCTTTCCTTCTTTCTTTTTCTTTCTTTCTTTCTTTCTTTCTTTCTTTCTTTCTTTCTTTCTTTCTTTCTTTCGTTTTCTTTCATTTTTGTTTTTTTTGAGACAAGGTCTCACTAGGAATTGAGCTATGGGGCTGACAGCTGCTATCATTCAAGTGTGGGTGGGTGGGTGTGATGTGATATCCAATAGTCTCCAGTTTCTCTACATCTTCAACATCTTGCAGTTAACATTTCTAATGCATATAAAATGGTATCTCATATGGTTTTTTTTGGTACCAGCAATCGAACTTGGGTTCTTGCACTTGCGGAGTGGGCAGCGGAACCACTGAGCTAAATCCTTGGCCTCATATGATTTTTTTTTTTTGGTACCAGGAATCGAACTTGGGACCTTGCGCTTGTGAGGCAGGTGGTGGAACCACTGAGCTAAATTCCCAGCCCTTCTATGGTTTTAATTTAAGTTTTCCTAGAGACTAATGATGCTAGTTACTGTGTTTGTGTGTGGGGAGGGTTACTGGATATTGAACCTGGAGCCTTTGCATGGAATTAAACCTCCAGCCCTTTTAAAAAATTTTTATTTTGAGACAGGGTCTTGCTAAGTCACTAAGTTGGAATTTGGGCTGAAACTTGCCGTTCTCTTGCCTCAGCCCGTAGAGTGCTGGGATTGATTATGGGTACCATACCCAAGAGCACTTTTTGGTTTTTTTTGGTTTTTTTGGCAGAGCTAGGGATTGAGTGCAGAGTCTTGCAAATGCTAGGCACTGTTTTAGTCTTTTTGCTCACTTATATAAATTGGGTTGTTTTTGATTACTGATGTAAATTCTTTGCCACTGAGTGTGTAAAATAATACAACTAATGTGGAAAATTGTTTTGGAAATTTCTTTAAAAATTACACATATATCTGTCATGTGATCCAACATTTCCAGCCATGATGTGTTAAAAAACATTTGTCACTGGGGATTTAGCTCAGTGGTTTCACTGCCTGCTCCACAAGTGCAAGGACCCAAGTTCGATCCTCAGTACCAAAAAACAACAACAACAACAACAACAAAAAACATTTGTCCACTAAAATGCTCATAAGTAAACATTCATATCAGTTTTATTTGTAATAGCTAAAAATTGAAAACAATTCAAATGCCTATCTGGTGCATAAACAATCTGTGGTACATCCATACAGTGAAATGCTACTCAGCTTTAAAAAAATGAATTCACTAATTGATGTGTGCTACAACATAGTTGAATCTAAAAAGTATGATTTCCAAAGGAAAGCAAACACAAGAGTATGTATTGTATAATTCCATGTATATGAAGTTCTACAACAAGCAAAACATATTTACGGTGACAGAAACTTATTATTATTTTTGGCACCAGGAATCAAACATAGGGTCTCATGCTTGCCAGGCAGGCACTGTGCTGCTGAGCTACATCCCTGGCAATGACAGAAACTTATCTGTGGTTGTTTTTAGGATAGGAAAAGGGAGGATTTACTGGAAAGGGCAGGAGAGAACTTTCTGAGATGGTGGAAATGCTTTATATAGTTTAGAGTGGTGATTACACAGGTGCACACACTTGTCAAAAATCATCAAATTCAATACA